GAACCTCCATGGCTGACTGCTCCTTCCAGCAGATGTCCAGGCAGTTTAGGTCACACATGATGACCGTGTCCCTTGACCTAACTGCCTCCATAACTTGACCTGAGAATTCCCTGTCCAGCTCTTCCCCCGGTTGGGTGGTCAATAGTATAGTAGACACCCACCGTTAAGTCCCTTTCCCCTCGACCCCCTTTTATTTTAACCCAGAGTACTTCAGTCTGCCCCTCTTCTGACCCCATGCTGTTTGTTGAGGACGTGTATTGCTCTTTAACGTAGAGAGCCACACCCCCACCTTTCCTCCCTGTTCTATTCTGTCTGAACAGTTTGTATCCCTTGATGTTTACCACCCAGTCATGGGTTGAATCCCACCAGGTTTCAATGAGCCCCACTATGTCCAGGTTTGTGTTAGCAAGCGGGAGGGCAAGTTCCTCCTGCTTGTTGCCCATACTATAAGCATTAGTGTTTAAGGCCTCCTATGGGTGCATGGCCCTCCCTCCTGATCCCAGGACTATCCAGACCCCTGTAAGCTTAAGGTGTGAATCATTTGCACACCTAACAGTGCAGATAGTGTGTCACTTCTTGCAGTGCCCTTGAAAGGGTTTCAAGGTACACACCCTGGTTAAAAATTACCATCCTAAACCATCTGTGACCAATGCTTGTCCAGTTTCTTTTTGAAGACCTCAAGTGATGGAGAGTCCACAACTTTCCTAGGTAGTCTGTTTCACTGCCTCACTATTCTATCAGTGAAGAAAATTTTCCTGACATTAATCTAAAACTATTTGCTGTAGCTTCAAGCCGTTTGTTCACATCTTTTCCTCTGCAGCAAGATGAAAAGGTGATCTCCCCCTTCTTTACATATTTGAAGCTGATCTCCCTTCAGATATTTGAAGATTGCTGTCATGTCCCTTCTATAATCACCTTTTCCACAAGCAGAGGAAGCCTGTTTCCTTCAACCACACCTCTTATGGCTTGCTATCCAAGCCCTTTATTTTTTTGCCTGTCTGCAGCTCTGTATACCCCCGGATACTATGCAAGTTCTCACCTGCGTGGGGAAGGAGGAAATTATGTCTCAAAGTCTGCTAAGTAGGTTTTACTGTTCATCAGAGTTGTAGCAGTGCAGCTCCATGCCTGGGGCAGTGCTGGATCCTGCAGCAGCACAAGCAGCCATCACAATGGCAAGGAATGCTTCCTTCCCCCTGCCCCAGTTACGCTATTGGTGTATGTTATACTGAGTATGTTAACTTCACCTAAGTTGTTGAGAGAATATACGTAATGGAAATAATGCAGACAGCAGCTGTAAAATGTTAACTTTTAAGGCAGTCCTAACCAATCTATGCAAATACAAATCAATTTTTATATTAATATTTTGTACTGTCCTTTATCATCTTTTTTTATTTACTTATAATATTGCTATCTAGGTAAATTGGAACTCCTTGGGACAGTGTTGCTTTTAAACAAGGGTATTTTAGATGAATTGTGTTAGAGGCAGGTAGCGTGGTGAGTTGTGGAGTGCCACACTATTGGAATAATTATTATCTTTAGTGTAGGTGTGGAAATAATATAAATGGTCAGAGGAACAACAGCTCTTAGAAAAAATTTTATAGGTTATTTTTCAAATCTAATATCTTTACTTTTTTTTAAATTTTAGACTGAGAAAGATGTGAACTGTCTTGAACCTTGGTTAATAAAAGAAATGGATTCCTGTCTCTCTGACATATGGTTGCATAAAGATGTTGATGCCTTTGCTCAGGTGTTTCACCTTATTTTAACTGAAAATGTCAGTGGTAGGTCTTTTATTTTAGTAAGCTTGTTGTTTCTTGATATGTGATTTGCTGCATAGTTTTTAGAAAAGAAAAATTATGAAACAAGTAAAGACATTCTGTGGATTTGGCATTACTAGTTTCTTAAATAATACTTTTAAATAAAAATAATTTTTGGAAAATTTTGACTTAAGATTTTCAGGAATGATGGGTTGTGTTCCTATTAATTATCATCACAGTCTTGAAGTGTGCATATTTGTATGGAGCCAATTTATATAATACAATGTTAAATTTATGAAGATTGACAAGGAGAAGGGAATGAATATTTTACTTTGCATCCAAAATTTAATTTCTTCTTGTATTGGTGGAATTTTGCAAGGCTTCGGATAGAACATTTGGAGGAATCAGTAACACTATTCAAATGTTTTTGCACAAACACTCATTGGTTTTTCTTTTTTTTCTTTTTCCTTGCTAGTTGATTACAGGCACAGTGAAACCAGTGCAACTGCACTAATGGTTGCTTCAGGGAGAGGCTTCTTGAGTCAAGTAGAGCAGCTAGTCAGTATGGGAGCAAATGTGCACTGCAAATCATCCAATGGCTGGTAAAAATTTTATTGGAGTTTTTAAAAATACAGATTTCTGTTTACATATTTTAAGTAGATAACTTCCTTTTTTTTAAAAGAAAAAATATTCTTGGTTGTAATATTAGTGAATAATCTTAACAAACTAAAACCAATTATTCTTTTCTGTTTTACTTTCTCTCCTTTCCCTACATTTCAAATTTCAAAAGCTGCACTCACTAGCACCACAACCAAAAGAGACTTGGGTGTCATGATTGACCACAAGATGAACATGAGCCACCAATGCAATGCCACAGCTGGCAAAGCAAATAAAACTTTGGCTTGCATCTATTGATGCATCTCAAACAAGACCCAAAAAGTCATTTTCCCACTTTACTCAGTCTTGGTGAGGCCACAGCTGGAGTACTGCATCCAATTCTGGGCTCCACACTTTAGAAAGGATGTGGAGAAGCATGAGAGAGTTCAGAGGAGAGCCACGTACATGATTAGAAGTCAAGAGAACAGGCCTTATGTAGAGAAACTGGGAGGCATTGGACTCTTCAGCCTGGAGAAGCGACTTGGTAGCAGCCTATAAGTATATAAGGGATGTGCATCAGGATCTGGAGGGGAACGTTAGTTCACCAGGGCACCCCAAGGGAAGACGAGACCTAATGGTCACAAACTCCTCCAAGACCATTTTAGACTGGACATAAGGAAAAACTTCTTTCCTGTCCGAGTCTGCAGAGGCTGGAATAGACTCCCCACAGAAGTGGTGCAAGAACCTACTCAGGATACCTTTAAGAAATGCTTGGATGCTTATCTTGCTGAAGTGATCTGATCCCAGCTGACTTCCTGCCCCTTGGGCAGGGGGTTGGACCCAGTGATCTCGCAAGTTCACTTCTGGCCCTGATGTCTGTCAAAACGATGCAATTTTCAAGAAGTTTATCTGTAAATCTTTGCTTTTCAAGTGTATTATAAGACCATTTTATTTTCTTGTCAACGGCACTAATTAATACATATTAAAGCAAATATAAAGACAATGGAAAGACTTCTAAGCTTCAGATCATCCCCTAAATGCTTTGCCATTCATGAGTGATGCATGAGCATGCCTGAAAAGAGTATGTTTTCTATTCTTAAGGCCTTTCTTTCTTTTCAGAACTAACTTGTACTACAACCACTGTAAATAATAGACCTATTATGGAAAAATATCAATTTTTCAAGCTTCTGTGACTTTAAATGCATTCTATACTAGTTTAGAAAATTTAACATAAAATCCATAGTAGATCATTGTAAAATAAAGAAAGAGACAAGAATTGGAGTATGGTGGGAGCTGTTGCTATGGTGATTATGTTAAAAAACTTGCAAACGTGTTTTTTTTTTTTCAGTTGGAGGGGGGGAAAGCACCAATAACATTAGCTTTATAAGGACATAATGAACTTAATTTCCAGGAAGACTTTTAAGTTAAAAAAGCAAACCTTTATACATATGGATGTATTAGTTTAGAGGGAGTGCTACACGTGTGTCACTTCGGAACTCTTAAAAGTTCAGTATAAACAATAGTGAAGGAAAAGTACAAAGTATTGCTCAGTATTTTATGTAGACTTGTTTTTTCAAGTGAAATAAAGTGAAACAGTTGTTTTTTTACCCAACTTAATTGTACTCTCTCCTGCATGAAACTGACATTTTTACTTGGGAAAGTATTACTGTATTTACCTGAATAGAAGATGACTCCCCCCAATAATTAGGTTCTATATATGGAAAATGTATACTTTTGATATAATATTTCGGGTATAGAATCTGACAGTTTGCCTTGAATTTGTCTCTCTTTCACTGCTACAGCAGTGGAAATAAATTGGTGCAGGAGGGTTAGGTGTCTTTTCCTTTGTCTCCCCTTCTCCCCTCCCAGCTTCCACCTCCTGCAGGCCCCTCGCCACCCTTCCTGACTGTCAGACCCCGCTTTCCCTGAGCCATGGCAATGAGGGGCAAATCTGAAGACACTAACTTTGAAATAAACATACATGGAGTAATTTATATGTAGTACCCATAGACTTAGTTCATCCAGAATTGATGTGTTTTACCTCTTTTGAGACTGTTTGTTTTAAGTTTTAGCACAGGTACTCCAAAAATTCACTTTTAAGCAGCACTTTTGTACTGAAGCAAAAAGGCTCATGATACACCACGTAGTTCATTGAGCTGGGCCCCAGCAGAGTCAACAGTGTTTCAAGCTATGGTGATCCCACAGCTCAGCACTGCTCAGTAGGTGTGTGTACTCCTGATAGCACCTCCACCCTCCCCACCCAAAGGAACCATGTACTAATTTGCTTCCCACTCATAACTGGAACAGGGTGTTCTTGTCATGAGTCCTGGGATCTGCAAAAAAATTGTGTGGGTGAGGCACAGGGCAGCCTGATCCACTATCTCATGTGGGTGGCATGCTAATCATTGGTGACAGGCTGAGAGAGGGTTTGACAGGGAGATTCTGGGGGAACTGTTTGGGGCCCTTTTTGGTGATGTTTGCCAGACATTTAAAGCTCATGAAGAAACAGGAATCTTTGGAAATTAGCAAGTAAGGTGCAACTCAGCTGCAGGAGTGAAGAGGAAGTCCAAATATCAATGTAGTGGTTCACTGCCTTGAAAAAGAGTCAGCATTGAGGGGGACTGCATTCAGTGGGCACTACCATGTATCTTATTCAGATGGGCTGCATTAATTTACCTTTGTGGTAGCTTCTCAGCCTTTTGTGGGCTAAGATCAAGTCACTACACTGGTCTGATAGCTAAGCCAAAATGCATTTAAAGTGGTACTGTGTAGTGGAGGGTGCACCCCTGTCCAGATGTGGACAGGACACCCTATGAGAGCCTCATAGTTAGTTTGCCACTGGCCAGCTTCCAGTGAGAGGATCTTGGCTACACACCGACTCTATGGAAATGGGAGACTCCTTCCTTGGTTGCTCCTGCGGCCGTATGGCTGAGGGTAAGAAAAACTTGGGAGCATCCGAACCCCAAGCCTCTAGGCTTGGGCTTGCATGTAGGATGCCTGCCAAAGGATTTGGAAGTATCTGAAGTCCCAGGCTGAAAAGTCTGGGGTGGAGGATACTTGCCAGTAGCAGGGCCACATATGGTTTTTGAACAATTTAAATGGAGTCGGAACTGATCTGGCTAATTTGACCTGGAACACGAAAAATTTTCCAAAATATAAAAAAAAAAATGTGATAGGTTCCCATCAGCATCTCGGCCTTTTGGCTAAGTTCAAGCATTTTTGGCAACAAGGAGGAGGGTACCAGGGCTGGCTCTCGCTCTCCTAGTACTGGTTTGGTATTTCAGTACCTCCAGGCCTGGGGTTGTTTCCCTATAGAGGGATCACCTGCCTGTTCATTTGTTTGTTTTTTTTCTTAAGGGCTAAAAAACAACAACAATAAAAAAAAGTAGGGGGGAGGGTCCCATGAGCATGTTTGCCCAGTGTGGGCCATGTGTTTTATAGTTACGCTCTATGTTGGTTGTATTTAATCAGCTTCATAATTGGTTTCCATTGCTGAGCACAAGCTATTTTTTGGCAGCAGTTTAATGCTAGACAGTGTAGCTTTTCCCCTTGCTGACTGGAAGGGAAAAAACCTCCTCTTGTATTTGAGTAAATACGGTATATACTGGGTGCATCCGTTGTACACATATTCATTATTGCGCTAGTTTATATACTTGCAAATGTGAAATAGCTACACAGTATTTATGAAACCTGTGAGACGCTAGAAATGGAGGGGAAAATGGTATACTTAAATCAGTAATTAAGAACATACAAAAGCATGGTGGCACACACAGTTCTAAATGAGAGAGAGTAAAAAAAGTGTAATTATTTCAGGATGGCTTTGGATTGGGCTAAGCACTTTGGACAGACTGAGGTGGTTGACCTTCTGGAATCCTATAGGTAAAGTATCTCTGCTTTGCTAAAACAGTTATTGAACATGGTGAGTGTCCCTGTTACTTCTTAGTAAAGTTTTAATGAGTCTACGTTTTGGTTTTCTGTCTTTAAAAATCTAGCTTAAAACTTTTGGGTTCTCTCTTTTTAAAAACAGACTTCCTAAAATAAAAGTAGGAAGTTAACATAATTGAAATAAAATATTTCTCTGTGTTCTTGATCACACCCGTTACTTTATCAATGAATGAGTCAACTCCTTATAGAGGCCAGGACTGATTCTAGCACTTTGATAAGGAACCCTGAAACTGCAAACCATGCAATGCTTTATTTTCCTGCCAAAACAGCAGGATAACTTGGTCAGGTTCTCCTAATACTGTTTACAATCACAATTGATGTCCCTTCGCTTCTACTCTGGGGCAGGGAGGTTGCCTTTTTAAATTGACCTTTTGCCTCTTTACTCTACCACTTGCATGGTAAGAATGTTTTTAGAACACTATATTATATCTTTGCATCTCATCTCTCAGCAGAGGGTTGTGTTACAGAAAAATCTAGTAATCTCCTGTCCTCAGTGCTTGAAAATTAAGCCCAAGATCTGTAAAACTGTATGTAAGGCTAGGTTCCTATAACTATATAAAGATACCTTAGTAAGTGCTTGTAAAAAGTGCTATCCAGTGCCATCATTAAAGAGCCAGTGCTGCTCTTCAAAACATTTAAGAGATCTTTAAGTTCCTGTAAAACATTTCTATTATTCCAGCAGTTCAGTCACATAAAAAAAGCTCAAAAGATCCAATTCAGGCCATTCAAGAAATAGACTTTCTCTCAGAATTATTTTGACACTGCTAGAGAAAGAATTACAACTTTAGCATTTTAATTTATAAAAGAGAGAAATGAAGTTCTTTTTCACATAATTTGTAATTAACTTGTGAGACTCATTGCCACAAGATTTTGTAGAAGCTGATCATATAACCTGATATTTTGAAAGAGGATTTGGACAAATTAATACAGAAACCAGCTCAGCATTGGATATTTAAACATGATAGGTAGGGGTGCAGCTTCTAAATTAGAACTTTATAGCCCTTTGAAAGTTGGAACCTGTAAGGGAGGAGGGGCAGGGTACAGGCTCAAACTGGATAGGCCCTGCATAAATACTTCCTCTAAGTATCCATTCTGTGTACTGTGCTATACAGGATACTGGGTTAGATGGATCTATGGTCTGACCCAGTATAGCACTTTTTGCAATGTTTAAGAAAACATGCCCAGGTAAATACTTCCCGTTTTTCTTCAACTAAGTATGACAATTCCGTTATGCTCTTTCAAGGGAGTTAAGAGTGGGGAGAGCAGGTGCAAGGAAAAAATTAACGCTGTCTGTAAAACTTAATATTCTAAAGTTTGGCATCCCTAAAACTTAATTGTATGCAATTGAAAGCATTGTTTGCTGAAGATATGGTTATTTTTTTTAGAACAGGATATCATTTTCTCCTAAAGCGCTTTTAAACGAGTTGGAAAGAGTTCTTAGGGAAGAGAGAGGGATACTGAAATAGTCCTTCAAGAGTTTCTATCCGTACCTCATTTGGCTAGAGTGCAAATAGCAAGTTAAACTAAGCCACATAGAATTTCATCAGTAAAAACTTGCTACGTTATTTATTGCACCATACCTCTAATGGGATTTCCTTAATATTGATTTTTATATCATACCCGCTGCTGCTGTATATGTCCTTATCAAATTCATTTGGAATTTGAATTTGGAATTTGATCCACTGATTGTCAATTAAGACTTATTCTTTGATTCATCAGATTTACTGGTGCTCCTGATTCACTGAAAAGTGACAGAAAATGCTGAAAAACACAGCTACTCCATTCCTAAAACACTGAGTATTGTTTTTAAGGAGGAAATAGATTTTTCAATACTAATCCATAGTGAACACAGGTTTACCTTTAAAAAACTTGCAAGTGATTTATTGAAAAAATTACCCATGTCTGATTCCATTAGCTGAGCATAATGGGAATGTGTGTTTCAGGTTACCATTGAGATTCATTGGCAGAATGATTTGGGAAAACTTGCATTGCATTTTCTACGCTACCTGGCACAAGATAGTGTCCTCGGCTTTATAAGTGCCAAAATTTACATACAAACTAAGAAGGAAGTAATGCATGATAGCCTGCAACAATGCATTTTAAATTGTTTTTGATTATTTTAATATAATGCTCTTTTATCTAGACTGAGCTATTTCTAAAATGCATTTTTAAATTTCTATATTTGTTTAGATGTAGTCTTTGACTATTAAAATTCTACCTGCAAGGAGTTTTCTTTCTTTTTTTTAACTAATGCTGAGCTACCAGACACAACCTTTTCTTCGTGCAAGGGGGGAAAAATGGGATTTTAAGGGTAAAAAATATCGTATATAAATGTTTACTTCTCATTCTTCCGAAAACTCATTGAGAGAATAACCACAGGACTTCTGTCTGCTTGGAATAACAAAACAAAACAACAAAACCATGATGGTTTTTCTAGGGTATTTCTCTCAATTTTTTTTAAATTACAACTTCTGAGTAGATGGGCATATTGAAGACAACCACTACATAGCCTCGTTACGTGATTCGCAGTTTTGCGAGGTGGAAGAGTGATGCATTCTAAATTTGCGAAATTTGGTATTATCTTGTTTAACATGTTGCAGCATGAGAGAGGCAGAAAAAGGAGTATAGGGAAACAGAGAATCAAACTGTCTTTGGTTTATTTTGTGGGGAAAATATTATTAATACTATGATTATAAAAGAGGGCTAGGCATTCAGGTTCAGAAAATCCTCAAACCCTGAAGTAGTTAAATAATACAGAATATTATAACAGTTAAATAGAAAATAGAATGTATAGCTAGCCATGTATTATTAATGTTTAGACACAACTATCAATTCTTGCATTTGCTTTCTGATGTATTGCTTCTCACTGAAAATGTTTCACTTAAACAAAAAGAAGAGTTTGGTCATAAATGGGAAGTCTCTGTGCAATTATTAATACCAGTTCATTGTAATAATACAAATAAGCATGAACAAAGATTAGGAAGCAAGCTGTTAGTCAGTAACAGTGATTGTCAAAACACCAAATAATCATTATTACATATTCTTTCAGTGAAATGGAATATGAATTTTAAACAATTCTTGATCATTTATCAAAGATAATTAGAGGATACTTGTAAAGGAAAGCTAATACTAAGTAAGGAGGATTAAGTGAAGTACAGATTCAGATGGAACAAATGAATGGCAAGATATGTTCTACAAATTTTGTTTGATGCTTTGGCAGTGTCATTGCTGGAATGATTAAGTAGACTAAATGAAGTGTTCCTGAATTACAAGAGAGGAACAGTTTGGCTTTTTTCAAAGATTTTGTAGGTTCCTGTTTTACAGTCATTTTTGGTTAAGAACTTTAAATTTTATTTCATTTGTTGATGCCAAGGCTGTGATTTGGGAGTGGGTAGGCTTGGTCAATAGTATTAAACAGTGACTTAATTATTTTATTTACGGGTGTTGTTTTTTCAACCAAAATAGTTAAACTGGTATAACCAGTATAAAGCATTACAGTAATGTTTCTCAAACTATGGATTGCAACGCCAAATTGTGCTGTAGCATTTACAAGTGGGATCGTGAACTCCATAGAATTACTGTTAGAGGGAGCATGTCTTGCATTGGAAGTGGGGTAACATACCTGGAAAGGTGAGGAACTGCTTTCTTACCATAATAACTTATTTTCTTTCCATATGGGAATTCCTATACCAGGATAAAACACTTAGGCTGGTACAACTACATACATAATAGGGATAGATAAAACTACAGTGTCTGTGCATAGGCAAAGCCTCGATGCGCAAGGACAATCACTTCAGCTCTTCCAAAATGTGAAGGTATGCTAGTTGAAAATAAAAAAAAAATAGTTTCAGAATTCTTCTTTGAAAGTGTGGCTGTCATTTGTTTTTTTCTTAGGACTAGTATCATTATGTACTGAAAAGTAATACGTACACCAGAACTTTCACAAATTATATTTTGATTACAGAAAATTACCAGTTTCTCATATGTTGTTTTTTAGAATTTTACCACCATTCATATGGTATCTGGTAAACTAATATATTACCCATTCCAAAACTGGAGCAATGTGAATTAATTTTGATACATGTATGTTCTTTCTACCATTTTCCTATAAACAGGTTAAAGTGGGTGATGTAGTTGGTACTTTCAGATGAGACTCTAAGTACAGTAAACTAAAACACCTTAAGCACAGGTGTGGTATTAAGCATGAGAGTTGCATGTTTGATGGATTGGATTTTGAATCACTGAAGCCAACGTTCAGTTATACAGGGCAGTGAAAATGCAATGTTACTATGTATGCCATTGCTAATATTTCATATTGACATCAGACCCAGAAATAGTGATAGGTTTTTTCTGAGTTTGAGTTCACAGGTAAAGGAAGCATGGTGTTCTTAGACCCACTTCACCCTTTTTCATGAGGAATAAATTTATTTTTATGTGATTGGATGTATATATTTTAGTGCTTCCTTGGAGTTTGGAAATCTGGATGAAAGTTCCCTGGTCCAGGCAAATGGTGGTGACCTTAGTGCAGAAGACAGAGAACTACTGAAAGCATACCATCACAGTTTTGATGATGAGAAAGTGGATCTGGACTTGATTATGCACCTACTTTACAACATCTGTCATAGTTGTGATGCTGGTAATTGTATATTTCTTTTATTATAATTTGGATAGTGCAGATATAGTGTTCCTGATGTATCAGATCATCATTGCCTTCTCTGAATAGTAGTAGCTAAATAAACTGCTGTACTGCATGTCAATCCTTTGCATCTGATATAAATACACAGCACTTAAGCATGTTCTTCTCAGATTAAATATAACTTCTGTATATAATTTTTTTTTAAAGGAGCAATTTTAATTTTTCTACCTGGCTACGATGAAATAGTTAGCTTGAGGGATCGCATTCTGTTTGATGACAAGAGATTTGCTGATAATGTTCACAGGTAAAATCTCTACTCTGTATTGTTGATTTCAGTTCTTCTTGCCTTCATATACCTTAGATTTTTAACTATAACTTCTGTTTTGTCATCAGGTACCAGGTTTTTATGCTGCATTCAAATATGCAAACATCAGATCAGAAGAAGGTGCTGAAAACTCCACCCCCAAACATCCGCAAAATAGCAAGTATCCAATGACTTCTAAAAGTTTCCTTTGATTGAGATTGTCTTCGCTTCTGCAGTTATTACAGAATAATTTTATTGTTATAGATTCTTTCAACTAACATCGCAGAAACCAGCATTACAGTCAATGATGTTGTGTTTGTTATTGACTCTGGCAAGATGAAAGAGGTATGTTTTGGCTCAAACTCTCTATACACTAAGAGAAGTGTGAAGTGGTACATATGGTAGCAGGTTTCTTGTTAGTATGTCTTGTTAAATGTACATGTTTAAGGTATCGAAACTCATTAATAGTGGAAATTTTATTGAAACTAAATGTAAATATTTGGCTGTCATAACTCTAGTAGAGCTGGGGTTAGAGCACTGGTACTTACCAAGAGATCTAATAAGCCAAGGGCTGGTACAGCTCTTTAAATATACAAAGGGCTGTTTGTATTTTCTTCTGAGACCCTGAATAAGTTAGAAAGAGTCACTTATTTCATGTAAGCTAATGCTTTCTTGTTCCATCCAGATGAGGTGTTGTCCATAGTTGGCTTCACTGGCTGTCAATAGACACAGATACCACTCCTTGGCTGCTTTGCACAGGGAATATGAGGCAGTGTGTAATAATAAGGAAGAGGACATGAGAATTGATGTCATAAAATAAGCTGGAATTCACAAGCTGTATATACACATTCTCCTAATTTGTTACACTGGTATTATTTTATTTTACATGCAAGCAGGCATTCTGGGAAGATATGACAATAAGTGACAATTGTCACAAAGCATGAATAAAACTTTATCAAGTACTATACTGAATATATATTTTACTTGTCCATGTGATAAAGCAAATGCAGTTCATTTTCTTCACTATGCGAAGTATTATAAAAAACAAAAACCCTGATGTACAGAATATAATATAATGTAGATATTTTGCTGAGGAAGTGATATAAGATCAAATCCACTTAATTCTAGTTTTAAACCTGTCCAGATTCCAAAATGCCATGGTTGTAATCATTGTGGTTGAATTTAGCTTAAATTAAGGTCAATGATCTGTGTCATTTATGTTATTTTTGTCTAAAATATCATGGTAAATCCAAATTTTGTTTTCATGAAATGATTTTACCTTAACATTATAGAAATCCTTTGATGCATTGAACTGTGTTACAATGTTAAAAATGGTATGGATTTCAAAAGCTAGTGCCCTCCAGCGAAAAGGCAGGTAAATGCACATTTTCTGTTGCATTTTATTTTGCAAGCATCAACTGTTGTATGCCTCTTTAGTAATAATAATGTGATGCTAATGGTTCATTCTGTGGGACATTAATTCTCTTGATTTGCAAGTGACACTTCTGTTAATATAGGCCAGTACGCTGTTGGCTTCTTTTGCAACAAGACCAGACTGTTGACTTATTTAGCTTTTGGTCTGCTGTAACCCTTAGGTCCTTCTCTGCAGTACTGCAGCTTAGCCAGTCATTCCCCAGTCTGCATTTGCGCATGGAATTATTCCATCCCAAGTGCAAAACTTTGCATTTGTCCTTGTTGAATTTCATCTGATTGATTGCGGACCATTTCTCCAATCTGTCCAGATTGTTCTTGATAGGCGTTCTGGGCGACCTGGATGGACTGGAGAATTGTGGCTGTAGGGGACAGGACTAGGAGCAATGGCCTCAAGTTTCAGCAGGGGAAATTTAGGTTGGAGATTAGAAGGAATTTTCTGACTGTGAGGGTGGTTAAGCATTGAAACAGGCTACCTAGAGAAATCATGGAGTCTCTATCCTTGGAAAAGTTCAAGAGCAGGTGCAGCTTATGCAGACATTTGGCTGGGATGATATAGTAAGGAATGTTCCTGCCTTGAGCAGGAGCCGGACTAGATAACCACATGAGGTCCTTCCCTGTGATCCTATGACATCAGCCTATTCCTTTAATCCACATGCAGTTGAAATCATCTACTGTTGATACTTACGGGAAAAATTGGGGTGTGTATGATAGTGCTTAAGGTGTCTTGCTACGGCTTGAGAAGGATAAGTTTCAGCCTCACTCTAGACGCATGCCAGAGGTTGACCTGAATTGATCCAATTAGTGATCTAATCAGATACCTGATCATTCAGGCTGGAGAGTCAAAGGTGCCCAGATACGTTGTTAGCACACCTTATTCCTTTGTGTACTGTTGGGTATAGAAATTGACATGTCTTAACCATGAATCCATAATGGACTGTTGGACCTTTGCCACAGGGGAAACATTTAAGCTTAAAATAATGTTAAAAGATTTGAGAAGCAAGGATTTCTTATGGTGGTATATTTTATTGGACCAACTGGATAGTTAGGATAAAGGTAGACAAGCTTTCACATGCAAGACATTCTTCAGCAAGCTATGAGATAATATGACTTTCCTGGTTTTGGTCTGAGAGTATGAAGGTTTTTGCCTTATTCTACCCATTCAGTATGCATGGATTTTATTTTCAAATTCCTGAGGTTGGTTCATTGATTTGATTGGCTGAAGACATTTGGGTCCAATTCTAACTGGTACACAAACATCAATTCACACCAGCCTGGCAATGTAAAGAGTCCTTAAAATGGCAGACAACCTTGTCTGCTTATGTCCTTAGACCAACAGGGCTACAACCTACACCCCTGCTAAAATGTCAGGCAAGAATTTTGGGAATGTATTCCAGCATTCATACAGGCAGTTGGGTCAGATAACCCTCAAGGTCTTTTCCAACTCTACCATTCTGTGACATACGGCATATGCTGTAAAGCTTTTTCAGAGGAGTAGTGTGGTGTGAATTGACTTTATAAATGCAAATCAGATCCATTTGCATTTTAAATTAAAGGCCCCTTCCTTATTGCCTTTCATCTTCCCCTTTGTGGCAGTGAAGTCACTTCAGTTCTACTTCAGTTATTTCATTATTTTACTTCAGGAAGATTAGACTGGTTACTTGAAAATTTCAGTTCAGTATGTTTTTAAAATATGGCCAACCTATCTTAATGTTATATAGATTTCAGTGCATATCTTCTCTAGTATCTAGGTTTACTTATTTTTACACATCTTGTGTAAGAGTCTCAGTTAGCTTCTAAGTAATATTTTATGTCTAAGGGCTGGGCGCTGTCGGCCTGGAATCTGTTTCCGACTCTTCAGCAGGCTCCGATTTCAGAATATGTTGGAATTCCAGACTCCAGAACTTCTAAGAATGCCATTGCAGGTGCGTATTTCTTTGGAAATAGTAATATTTTCCTGTTGTTACCTTACCATATTGCTTTATAAAGTTTGTATAGAATTCTGCAAGCGTGTGATTCTTAAGTTAGCTTTTCTTAATTTTAAAAAGAAAAAGTGAAGACAAAAGTTGTCATTTATGATAATTTGCTGTTGATATTCACTTGGCCTCTGCATAGTTTACTTTGCATTGCATCTTAACGCATGAGTTCAAGCGTCGGCAATACTATGTATTTATATGAATAATGTAATTTTTTAGTGTCAAAATGGAAATCATGACATTTATTTACTATTGTTTACCTAGATCTATTATAAACAAACTTTTGAAGGAGGCCTAAAATGAGAGCAGGACTACCCGTTTTGCTTAGCTAGCCTAGGTGCTGAAGGCTCCTGCCAGGATGGAATCTGGTGAATTTTATTTCAGATCACAGAAATCGTGCATCCTGCTGGATATATAATTTTCAGGATCTGATAAAATTTTTCAGATTCTATTGCATGTCTGTCAGCATGGGAAGCTGAGGATCAGGGAGCTGGATTCTAGGTTCCTTGCTTCCCAGAATCTTCAAAGGGCACTGAAAGAAGTGTGGTTTTCCTGGTGACCTTTTATCTTCCTGGAACATGGGGAGCCCAAGATCAGAAGGAGCAGCTCCTTTAAAAGGTTTTGTGGAAAGTTCAGCATCACGGACCAGTTCAAGTACTGTCCTTCCTTGTCAGTGTGTAGGGAGTGTAAGATCATGCACTAAATGTAAGTGTTACATGAAATGCTGCTATGTTTGCACCTTCTTAGATTTCATAGATTTCATGGACATGAGGGCTGGAAGGGACCTTGTAAGATCAGGGGGTCTACTCCCATGCCCCAGGGGCAGGAAGTCAGCTAGGGTCAAAGGATCCCAGCAAGATAAGCATCCAAATATTTCTTGCAAGTGTCCAGAGTAGGTGCTTTTACCACCTCTGGGGGGAGTCTGTTCCAGGCCTTGGGGGCTCAGACAGTAAAGAAGTTTTTCCTTATGTCCAGCCTAGAATGATCTTGCAGGAGTTTGTGATTGTTGGACCTTGTCATTCCCTGGGGTGCTTTAGCGAACAGGTGTTCCCCCAGATCCTGATGCACACCTCTTATGTACTTATAGGCTTCTACCATGTCACCAAGTGGCACAGTTTTTATTAATTCCCAACTGTGGAAGTTAAAATAGAGTATTTTTTATGTTTGCTTTGTTTTATGTTTTTTAAAACACTCATTAAAATTTGACTGTTTCCTGGTATGTTTATGTTTGCCTTTTTTAGATGATATTTGAAATTTATACTTATGTTATGAAATTGCAGATTTTTTTTTAATTTACAGGAGCTTTGTTTGCACACAAAACTGTTGGCTCCAATTAACTGTCCTATTGCTGATTTTCTGATGAAAGCCCCAGATCCTCCACCAGGCTTAATTGTCAGAAATGCTGTTCAAATGCTTAAGGTAAGTGGATGAATAGACTGACATTTATTTTTCTTCTTTGTTGTTTTTATTTTCATGGTCTGGGCCTTAAACTTGGCAGTGTATCTGTTGTGCAGCCTGTTACATAGTTGAGTATAAACTCTCCATTTGTGTAGTTACCTAATAAAAGTCTTTTAGCTGAGTGGTTTTTTTTTTTTTTTTAAGGGTTCTGCTTTGTCATGTCTAGGCTAATACCTTATTATTAGAGGATGAGATAATCTCTTCTTCAGAAGAAACTGTTGTTTATCTAATTTTTTTTAGATTACATATATACATAAATGTTTTAAAACATAAATAAATAAATATGAATTTATATGCTTTTTTTTATTATTGCCAGACACATTTCTACATTGTCTACATTCAACGCCTACATTGCCCCTAATAACTAGGGGTGTGTAAAGTGGGCTATATTTGATATGGATTCAGCTGGATTTGGGGGCATTGATTCGATTTGTTGATTCAGATCACTGTCCCGATTCAATTCAGCTGAATTTGAAGATTCCGTACCGATTTTGGAGAATCAGTCATTCGGTCTTAGACAGTGTTTTTTCTACATACCTCAAGGTACCAGGCGCGGCTTGTGAATGTTGAGATGGAGTGGATGCAGTGTCCCACAGGAGCGCGGGGGGCACCCTGTGTCCTCAGCAATGGACCCTCCCCCCAGCATCTCCTCAGGGATTGGCCATTGGGGGAACCCTGGGTGGCCCCCCAAACCCAGGAGGCACCCGTCACCAAGCTGCGGGTCAGGGTGCTTCTGGTCCACTTCTGGGTCCGTTGCTGTGGGATGCTCCATCCGCCCCACCATCTCAATGTTCACAAGCCACCTGGTACCTTGAGGTATGCAGAAAAAACACTTAAAGCTGTGTCTATGTCCAAATTATCAAATCTCCCTGAATCTCTCTGAATCAATTAAAGGGTCTCTTGATTTGATTCGGAGATTTGGCTGCCAAATTGGGCCGAATCTCTGCTAAATTGAATCAGTGACTGAAGCTTCACGCAACCCTGCTAATGTGTCCTAGAGCCTTGAATCTTCTTAACATTCCTGGGAGAATGTGGGGCATAGAGAAAGCAAAGATTTACTTGTAAGCTTGTGTTGAAATACAGGTGACCCTCGCCATTCACAGGGGATACGTTCCCGCGAATGGTGAAATCTGCAAATAAGGCACTGCATTCATGAATACCATCTACATTCATTAACGCATTGCCCCTGGCGGCTTGGGGAAGGGGGAGTGCACGGCTCCAGCGGTGGGATCGTGGTGGCAGCAAACGTGGAGCTCCTGAGGAGCTCCTATAAGTGTATAAAGTGCATTTAAAATGCGGGTTCGGCATTTGTGAATATTTGAAACTGCAAATGCCAAACCTGCAAATAGCAAGGGTTTCCTGTATGTTGAAAGGTGTATGGCTTATTAATCCAGTCATCCAAATAGTATTTACTTTCTGCTTTTACGGTGAATGATACATTTGCTTGCTTTTTTCTCCTTTTTTTTAAATTAGACAATAGATGCCATGGATACCTGGGAAGATCTCACGGAACTCGGTTATCATCTTGCTGACCTCCCAGTAGAGCCACACCTTGGTAAAATGGTGTTGTGTGCTGTTGTTTTGAAGTGCCTGGATCCTATTCTTACCATTGCTTGCACTCTTGCATATCGAGACCCTTTTGTCCTACCTACACAGGCCTCACAAAAACGTGCAGCTATGCTGTGTAGAAAACGTTTTACTGCGGGAACATTTAGTGACCATATGGCGCTTCTCAGGGCTTTTCAGGTATTTTCATCTACAGGAGGAGTACTGATAATAGATTACGTAAGAGAGAGTAATAGTGCACTTTAAGTATGGCTAGCTAGAATACAGTTGTCATTAGTAGATTGTCCTTGTATTGAACCCAATAGTAACTTTCTCTGAGTAACCAAATATTTTGAAAATTATTTATTCTTTTCTTAGCATAATTTTGCTAAATTTATTCAATTCAGTGTTTCAACTAGGTATCATTTTAAGTTAAAAGTGTATCTCAATTAAAAGTATATCCAAGTTAAAATATATCTATATGTAAAATATTATCTAAAAATACTACTTTGAAATGCATTATTTTGATATAGGGACATGTACATGGACAATTCTGTTTTATGTGAGGAAGAAATGTCCAGTGATTTTGATACCTTAAGGCCTCTGCCTTAATTAAACTAAACTTAATATTACTATACTTAAAAAAAAAAAAAAATCTGGCAGTAGTAGCTTTGAGTTAACTGTGTTCGTAGGCATTTATAAAAATATATATATATTTATTTTTTCCCTATAGGCATGGCAGAAGGCACGGAGTGACGGGTGGGAGAGAGCCTTCTGTGAGAAGAACTTTCTTTCCCAGGCTACAATGGAAATAATCATAGGGATGAGGACACAGTTACTTGGTCAGCTCAGAGCTTCAGGTAAATTGTTAAGAAATGCCTTTAAATATTACTCAGTCCCAGAAGAGATAGCAATGAGCATATTCAAATTTTAACAAGAGTAAAACTCACCGGTGTTACACTCCCATGTAATGTATATAGTACTCTAGTGTATGTGCTCAGAAAGCTACATTTGATAGTGAAAAGATGGCATTGTACAACATCAGTTTATTTAATATGAAACAGGAAGATGCATTGAGGATCGTACCTAAGTTCAGCCAAGCTTTTCATAGTTCAGGGTTGAGAATGGAGACAAAAATAGTTTTAAAGCATGTTTCCATTTCCCTGATCCAAGTCTTGACTGCAGATTGAATCAGATTATGGCACAACTTCAAGTACTCCAAAGGGCTGTTTCAAAGTTATAGTAGATGTTTATTTTAGGGTATGACCCAGTGTTGCTTTTTGAGTTACACAAAACATTTAGTAGGCTATGAAAAACATTTTACATGGTAGAGCATCATTATTTTAACGTGTCAAAGCCAATTAAATTGAAGGATCTCAACCTAATTGCATTTTAAGTACGTGCATAATATATACTATATTAACTATCTTAAAAGTTATTAAAATGTAATTAGGGGGCTGGGGAAAGCATAAATATATTGTTTTGACCCAAAGGAAATTTAAAAACAATGTGTGCTTATAAAAAAAATACAAATATACAATCTTTTTTTTTCCCCTCTAGGTTTTGTGAGGGCTAGAGGTGGAGGTGATATTCGGGATGTTAACACCAACTCTGAAAACTGGGCCGTAGTTAAAGGTGCTCTAGTAGCTGGGATGTATCCAAACCTCGTCCATGTGGACAGAGAGAACCTTGTATTAACTGGGCCAAAAGAGAAGAAAGTGCGATTTCACCCAACCTCTGTTCTTAGTCAACCTCAGTATAAAAAGGTAAAATATTTCTCTAAATGTATAACGTCACAAACTCCTTTTAGGTCTCAGCCCTCTGAAATCAACATGTATATGTACAAGAGATCAGACCTAACTGTTGGCCAGGTGAAGATTATGTTTAAAATTGCCTGCAAAAGTTGATGTCAGTTTATTTTAAAAACAATACTTTTAAAATACTTCTTTATCAGAAATTATCTGACCTTGGTCACCCTACCGAATGGAATGGTGTCATGAAGTTGTTTACTGGTCTCCAGTGTGAATTGTGTTTTGGAATGAAGTAGCAACATGGAATCCGCTTTGAAGTTCTGATCTGGGTTTTCCCTGTCTACTAACTATATAGATTATTTAACTGTAAAAGGACAGTATAAAACTTTAATACATTAGAATTTTTAATATTACACTGTTCTACAATCATGGCTGACTTCAGCATATATGTTGCATTTATTCCTACATGGCTTGAGGAATAAACACATAAATAAATTTCTGTTCTTGTACTTCTTAGAAAAGGTACAAGAACAGCTTAAAGCCTTTTTTGCTTTTGCTAACAGATTCCTCCAGCAAATGGCCAAGCTGCAGCTATTCAGGCGCTCCCCACAGATTGGCTAATATATGATGAAATGACTAGAGCACACAGAATAGCAAACATCCGATGCTGTTCTGCTGTGACACCTGTTACAGTGTGCCTCTTTTGTGGACCAGCAAGATTACCAAGTAATGCTTTACAGGAGCCCTCATCTTTCAGAGGTATAGTATGTTTGGAAATAAAAAAATTCCAATATGTACCCATGTGAGTTACAGCAACAATACTTATTTTACAGGAGTAGCTAATGTATCTCTTGTGTGAATTATGAAGATCTTGCAACCATAGTTCTTACAGCTACTGAAAAAGTCATTAAAGGTTCCAATGAAACGCACATTATGCCTAGCTTCTGTATTTTAATATCCTTTTAAAGATGATTTAAAACACTGCTTTTTCATTGTTTAAAGATTAAATAGTAGAACGGGAATGTAAAATATGGGGAGAGAATCTTCTTTCAAAACATTTTATAAAGGATCACTACTCTGGGAATTATATTCCAATGTTGTAAGGCTGTCTTCTCTAAAAGTTCTAAAGCAGTTAGCTGTAGCAAGGGCCACTACTTTTCCACATAGTGGACAGAGTGACCTTCCTTACCTTGAGATGAGCACCCACAGCTATTTGCAGCCGCTTGATACACCAGTAGTCTAAAGTGGATGGTCCTCTCTTGAAAACTTTCTTCGAGTGTTGTCTCCTTTACTGCATCTGCTTCACTATTTAGCTTTGAGTCGCATCAAAAGATGTTTGGATCTTGTAATGACATAGGATTTTAAGGTCTAGGCTCTACTGGTTCTTTGGTATAGGTGTGTCTAAAGACACTTTTGGTCTTCATAGACTTGCATTATTTTATTTCTTTCTCATGCCTTTCCATTTGCAATTATTCTTCTTCATTGCTGATTCACTATATATACATTATTCTAGTAGACAAATTGCTGCTTTTTTCCCCACTTACCTGGGAATGGATCAGAGGCAAAGAGATCAGTCTTCAGGTCCCAGAGACAGTGTATGAAGGTTCTTATTTCTCTCTGTAGCCTGATGTCAGCTAGCCATAAAGTCTAGAGAGCTATCTTGATATACAAAAATAAAAATATAAAATGTTAAATATTCTAGACGTGGAGTTCTTTCAGCAGGACTCAAAGGCCAGAGCTTTAAGGGAGGAAGAGCCGAATGTCTTACCTAAATTCACTGTATTTATCTTGCAGTTGAGTGGTTAAATTCTTTCGTTAGGTGTTTAGTACTAATCTCAAGTTGATGGGTAAGATGGTACTAAACACTCATCCCATTTATTTTAAAAGGTGGTGTTTACTGTTTCATCTAATGCTTGAAGGAAAATGAGGTTCCATAGCATTTAACATTGAAGGAGTCACAGCAGTGTCTGTGGCAGTCTTTCTCTGAAGCTGTCTTACCAAAAATACATTGAGTCAGGTCTTCTTCTGTCTGTCTTGCAGTACAAAAGGGGCTATTTAGGATATTACTGTGAGAGCTGCAGGTGTTATAATTAGTTTCCCCCTCTCCTATGTCTCAGAGTAAGGTACGTTTGTATGTTACTGCTGTGTCCCCATGACACACCATTGCTGCTCCCCAGCACCATAAGCAGCCAACATACTTCAGAGGAGCTTCAGGGCTGCTCTAAAACTATACCAAAAGATATGGACCCAGGTTCTGGGTACTTCTAATAGTTCCTCTGCTGTTCTTCCCCCTTCCCTCTTCAGGTGTACCTAAGGCTTAATTGGGACACCTGAGGATTGAGGTCATTCTGTCTAGCCCCTTTCAAGGCATAATGCATCTTTTTATCCTGACTTGCAGGTAATAATAGATACACTTCTAACTGGAAAAGAAATTATCGTCCAGAGAGTAAGAGGCTGTATTGAGTTTTAGGCCACTTCAAATGTTTAAAAAATAATATTCTTTAACTTTTGTGCCATTAGGGGTACTCTGTTTTAGCAGTTCTCAACCTTTTTAGATTCAAGGCACCCCTTGGAAATCACCAGCTCTTAGTTTTCACTTGTTTATTGGCTACATAAAAATAATAGAGCGCTTGTTCTTTTAAAAAGACCTCAAAGACCTCAGCAGATCAGAGTATTTTAACACTACAGATTCTTATTTAAAATCTCTGGGTTTATATTGTGCATCATGTTTGCATACCTAACAGTGCTAATGCTGTGTTGCACCCTGCAGCACCCTTGAAAAGATCTCAAGGCACCCCAGAGTACCCCTGCACCCTGGCTGAGAATCGCTGTTCTATTGTATGCAACATCTGGATTTCAATTCTCACTTTTAAATTTTCAGTTGCTTAGGTAACTGTTTTTTTCTTGCATCTTTTTGTTGTTTTGCAACAATTTCTGATTGTTGCTTCTAAAACTGGAGTGTTTTATGGGGTATCTTCTTTTTTGTTTTGTTGTTGTTGTTGTTTTTGTTATTTTTTTCTTTACGTCCATATAGCATTCAGTGAAGTAAATAAATGTTCACAGTTTTCATAGACATTAGGGCTGGAAGAGACCTTGTGATATCATCGGGTCCAGCCCCCTGCCCTAGGAGCAGGAAGTCAGCTGGGGTCACATCACCCCAGCAGGTAAATAAATGTAATAAGTTTATAAATAGTCTTTTTGTAGAAAAGTTTTTAATGGTGATCTGTTTTCAGATAATGAGCTTTTAATGGTTGACTGGATTGACAGCTATTAAATGCCTAGCACACTTCTGACCTTTTCAAAGTTTAAAAAAAAAGTTATTTCTTTTTGGCCTCCTGTGTGCGACTTATTCCATCTCTTTTCTGGTCATCTATTACACTAATTCACTTCAAGTTTTTTTTTCCTGAGTTAGTTTCTTCAGGATATTTTCATCTTTACACTTCATATGACCAGAAAACCTATGTTTGCACCTATTGATTTTCAAAAGTCAGCTTTTCTCCAGTGATGTTTCCAACATAAGTATTTGTCATCTTTTTCATTTTCAAGGTTTTAAGTTTCTTTCCATCAGCAGTAGTAATGGGCACTTTAAATAATTCTAGCATAGAAACTCTATCAGAAATTCTGGTAGAGTAGAATGTATCTTTCACTAAATTAATATAGAAATATTTATTTGCCCACTCAATTTAAAAATAACATTCTTTCTGGAGAACCAGTTATTTGACAGCTTTGAATAATGCCTTTCAAAATTTTATATTACAGCAATTTAGAAGCAGTGAGATTTTTGGAATGCTAGGATATCTTTAATTTCACCATTAGATTTAGAAAGACATTATGTAATATTAACTGATGAAATAACATTAAAGGACTTCGCATTTTAATATTGAATATTTAAAGTGAGCACCTTAAAATTGAAAGGAACATTTTCTAAAGTAAATGTTACTAACTTGATACTAAGGTAAAATCTGTTTTGTGTAATAAAACCAGTAATATTCGATTTAAGCATTCAGATGCCAGCTTTGTCATTTCATTTCTACTCATGCAGAACTTATCCGGTCTTGCTAAGAAGTTTGGGACCCTCCAGATTAGAGTTACATTTACTAATGAAGCAATAGATTTAAAACACTGCTGAGAAATCTCATATGCTGCAATTTAAAACTTTTTGTCCTGTCTGTGGACTCAGAGGACAGTTTTTAATTTTCCTCTTTGCAGTAGTTTTTCAAGTATTTTAATACTTACCATGTCTCCACTCACATGTCCTTTCTCTTGACTAATGAAACCTAATTCTTTCTTCATCATTCACATTTATTTGGACCTCTGATTATTTTGGTTTCTCTTCAGTTGGTTCACATCTTTTTTTCTTTTGAGATTGGTATTCAGAAGTGGCAACTGATCTCCAGCTGAGGTTTTATCAGTGCTGAGAAGAGTAAAAAGATTACTTCATATATCTCAGATGCACTGTTCTTGTTTATACCTGTCTGTATGGTATTTGCTTTTTTTTAATAAAAGCATTACTTTTGATTTCAGTGAAACAAATATTCATGTGTTTAAGAGTATATGATGAAATAGTTTTTCTTTTTTTGTCTGCTCATGGAAACGATATTGAAGTGCTAATGTAGCTTTTATTTTTCTGTGTTAATTTAGTGGATGGTGCACCTAATGATAGTAGTGATAGTGAGATGGAAGACAAAACAACTGCTAATCTAGCTGTATTGAAGCTAGATGAATGGCTGCATTTCAAACTAGATCCTGAGGTAGGTAAATGTATCATCTGAATTATTTTACCCAAGAAGCAAGTATTATCTGCTTTCTTAATATTATCACTTCACTATGATTTCTAAAGTATTTGGGTCTTAAAGAATTTCATTGAGAAATAGTAAATAAATGTATATAGTCTTACTTTTTTATAAAAAGTCTTGAGATCTAAAGGGAAAATTATAGCTAAGAACTTGCCACTTGATTGGAATAAGTTAGATTTTAGGTTTAGGATTAATACTGTCAGCAAAAATGTAAGTACATCATATGTTTACTTTCCCACAACTCATGTTAATCTTGTTCTAAATTATCAGATACGTACAAAAATATAAGGTCTTCTCCTAAATGAATCAAGCAAAGTTGATTTCTTTAATATGTGGTTCTTTTTTCCTGCTTCAGTAAATTAATGGTTTAACAATGCATTGAGATTTATGAATGCTAGTTTTAGTACACGTGCAAACCCTGCTGAAATCCATTGGAAACTTACACCCCCATGCATATATGTTTTTGAGACGATGAGGCAGGATCAGAGACTAGTGTTTATAAACCTGGCTTTAAAGATGAATGTCACTGATAAATAAGATGGTAAGGCAGCATGTAAAAAGAATGAGTGAGATATAGATATCTTTTTAATGTGGTATTTAGGGTGAGGAGTCATGTCTATAGAACAGACATCTAAAGCTTATCAGACCCAGTATGGAAAATAATGTTTTCTATTTTAATGCTCTCTACACTATTTTTCTACTTTTTATTTTGGAAATCTTTGGTTTATGTCATGCACTAGCAATACAGAATCAGACCTACACAGTTCAATTTAGTTGAAATATATTTTAAGGGAAACGGGTCATTTAGAACTATTCCACTTGCTTTATTGAAGAGTACATATATGGTGAAAAAATTAAGACAGAAAAGGCAGAAGGTGAAAAAAAGATTAGATTAAATAAACATGAGGTTCTAAATAAAACTTTAGTTAGAGCTGGGAATTAGTAGTATGTACAACTCAGAAAACCAGATTGTAGGAGCAACAATGCTAATGAAAAAGTTTAGATGATGGAACTAAATAAAAAGTTGATTTTTTTTTTTTTAGAACAATTAAAGAAAAACTAGGAAAGCAAGACATTAAAATGGCTTTAAATGTAATTGCTTTTTCAATTTGAAACAAATGCATTTAATAGTTCAGACGTTTTAATGGGTGTTGACAACCAACAACCCACAGGCCAGATCTGTGTTGTGAAGATCTGATTCAAGGGGGGCAGGGGTGCCATGTTGAAGTGACCATTTAAGGCTTTCTGCTCAGTGACTTTGCTGCTGAATTTAATGTTCCCTGTTGGTGTTTGCCACAGCTTTCAATGGCACTTGGTAAGCAGAGGGGGACACAGAGCAGGGAGGGGATTGGAGCAGCCGGGGGTTGGCAGCTTGTGGCAGCGGCCACATTGCAAGCACTTATCCCACTGCTCTAAACAGTTGTTCTGGAATGTTGCACATTGCCTGGTTAGTGAGATGAGAAAGTGAGAAGTAGGACGTTGTTACAGAGCTATTCAAAATGTCATCAGTCTTTTAATGGAGGTGACATTCATTATAGGCTTCCAGTCTGCTGTTACAACTCAGACAGAAATGGCACAGCTTATTTCTTCGCCGCATGAGAGCCCCTTCTAAACCTTGGTCTCAAGTTGATGAAGCAACTATAAGAGCAATCATAGCTGTTTTAAGTACTGAAGAGCAGTCTGCAGGTTTACAGCAGCCTTCAGGAATTGGACAAAGACCAAGACCAATGTCTTCTGAAGAGCTTCCCTTAGCATCTTCATGGAGATCAAATACTAGCAGAAAAAGCTCAGCAGAAACAGAATTATCTGATGACTCTTCTAATGCTGAAAAGTAAGTTGGTTTGTAACTTTCCATACAATACCATCCCTTAAATTCCTGCTTGGGGAAAAATTATTACAGTTCAACTGAGCCCTTTGATTGAACCTGTATAGATTTTAGTAGTATAAATTACAAAAGGTGAATCTGGCTCCAATTTTGAGTCTTCCAGAGGAAGGTAAAATTTTTCTAGTATAAAAAATTGCAGAGCAATACTTATGAGTAATTTTTCTAATAGAAAGCAGTGTAATGTCTGAACTAGATCTTAAATAGGTTTGTATTATTATAAGTACACTTTTTTTTCCATTTCTTTAAGGGTTTCTACAAAAAAATGGGTAGAAATAGACATACTGTATTTATTTGCATAACACAAGCTTCCTGAAAAAAAATCCATGAAACTTATTTGGGAAGGTACAATGAAGAAATTTTTTTTGTCCTTGAAAAATAAATAATTTAATATAACAATTTTAAAATGCATACAACTGTTTTCAACCTATGATAAGGTGTTTGCATTCAAGACTGACTAAGCAAGCACGGGGATATAACCTGGGTATGTCACTAAGTTATGGTAGGCCTTTGTGAAGTGATAATACTGGGTCATCTATTGATATGCCAAAAAATACTTTTAACCAAGCTATTTGGAAATCAGTTTCCGTAAGACATGAATCTCAATTTTTGGTTGCTAATGTTTTTGGGGAAAAGTGTGTGTAGTGTGCAAATAAATATGGTAATTATTTATTTAAGCTTTTTAATTATAGAAATGTAAATTTCAAACTTGTCACATAGTTGCTCTTACCTTGAATGGCTCATGCTGCTATGTACAAGTCTTTCATGTAGAAATGAGAGTTTTTTGTTTCAAACCCCCTTTAAAAACAGTAGAGCCAACTAAATCTGTATGCTGTTTGGTATTTTATACTGGTCAACTATTATATTTAAACAGTTCTAAGCTTTCACCTATCTTTCTGCAGAGTCTTAATGAAGTCTACATCACCAGCATTTCACCAGCCACAGAAATACAAAGAAAGAGGTATCTTACATTCCAAACGAAGTTCAGAAGACAGGTCAGATCAGTCATCTGTGAAATCCACAGACAGTAGCAGTTATCCCAGCCCATGTGCCAGTCCTTCTCCTCCATTATCTGGAAAGGTAAAATATCACCTTATTTATGGATAATAACAAAAATATAAAGATGAAATAATCTACCTGACATTTCTTTTGAGATCAAAAGAACAAGAATATTTGTATGCAGAATAGTACCTGATGAAACTAAGACTTCAGTGTGCAGTGTAAAATGTCATACAAACATAAATAATCCAGACCCTAAAGCAGGGACGGGCAATTATTTCAGGCAGAGGGCTGCTTACTGAGTTTTGGCAAGCCATCAAGGGCCACATGACAGGTAGCCAGGGGCAGATAACTATTAATTTTCTAAATTTTTCAGGGGCCCCGTGGGCCGGATAGAATGGCCTGGCAGGCCGCATTTTGCCCACCCTTTCCGTAAAGTGTTTAAATTCTGGACAGAATACTTTTGTTCAAGAGCTGCACATCCTCCTGGAAGCTCTTGTCTGCCAATTTGACTCAGTACCAATTTTTCAGTTACTTCCAGATAGCTAGGTTAACTTGGGTCTCATTTGCTTAAATTGAAAATGTAACACACAACAAATCTAGTATCTGACTTAGGGGCCCCAGGCCTTGTGCCATAAATTGTGACATGCAACACATACAAGCAATTTATGGCATGACACAATGGGAAACCAGCCACAGAGATGTTTTACATTTAATATGAATGTCTTTATGGTTGGTTTGTATCATGTTTTTCCCCAAACCTGGGCTGTCTAGTTAGCTTTTAAAGGTCAAGGCACAAGAGGGGAGCCTTGTATTGGGGACTGGGGTTCCCCTAACACTGTCAGTTCAGAGGGAACTGAGGAATTTTATCTCGGGTCTTGAAAGTCATGCATCATGCCATGCATGTCTGGCATGGCAGGATATACAAATAATGGAATGAGGCATAAAATTCCTTTGATCCCATTGAGCCATTAAATTAATGTATGCCAGGGCCTGGAGGTAAGGTACTAGAGCAGAATCTATAAGGTGGTGGAGGATGCAGTCTAGGTGGAGCAGAATGTCTCTCCTTGTGTATGTTAGCTGCCTGGATTTATTTAATAGGAATGAGGGAAGAAATCTGTCCTGTTTGCATCAGGAAAATTGGTGCCAAACGCAAGTGCCAAGAGGTCCCTTTCTTGACAAACCTAGAATTCTAAGAGGACTTTTTGAAAAGATTCTTTACCAGATGTTTCTTTGCACATGCAGTCCGCTTGCTTTTTTTGCAGGGTTCCAAGTCTCCTTCGCCAAGACCAAATATGCCAGTTCGGTACTTCATAATGAAGAGTAGCAATCTGAGAAACCTTGATATTTCTCAGCAAAAGGGTATATGGTCTACAACCCCAAGCAATGAGCGGAAACTAAATCGAGCTTTCTGGGAGAGCAGTATAGTTTACTTGGTATTTTCAGTTCAAGGATCTGGACATTTTCAGGTGAGTCCTAAATTATAATTTAAATTGTCTGCCTGGTGGTTGGGTAATAGCACAACAGATTACCATGCAAAGAAGAAAAGCTTTGTGTATTATTATAAAACAGTTTTGAGTAGTTTGTATTTGGTTGATAGAGAAAGGAACATTTCATGTTTCTCTGAAGTTTTCTCTTCAGTGTGACTCGGGAAAGTTGTTCAGTCATTAGGACTGAATTGCATACAGAGCTCTTCAGCCTGGATAGCATTATGCTTTATGTGTGTGTCCTCTGGTTGAAAATCAAAGGGGAGGAAAGACATCAGACAGGTGTCTTCATTTTTTTCTTCCTCTGACTGCCAAAAATAAGTGTACCATTTATGATTTAATGGCACCTTTTTGTAAAAGTCATGGAGGTCCACAAGTCTGGAGAGATGTCCATTTCATAAAGAAAAATGCTAGGAGAGGTTATGGCTATGGGTACAGAGAGTTATTTCACCCTGAAAGTTATTTCACCTTGTAGCTTCAAAGTAAGGACCATAAGCATATCTTCTAAAAAAGAAAGCTAATCTCACATGGAAGAGAACCAACACCATCCCCAAGTAAGTGTTGTTGGTGCAGAAGCCTTTCACAAAGTTCAGATTGACCAAGGTACCAGGAGGCTGACTCAGCTTGTTACATAAAATTATCTATGAAAATCTAAAAAAGTTGAAAATAGACTGAGTTAGTTTAGACTGGGTGTGTCAAACATGCAGCTTGTGGGCAGGGTTTGGCCCGTGGAGCCACTCTATCCTGCACGCTGGACCACCAGCAGGCCACCAGAAGTTGAGGGGGAGGGAGGGCATGGGGAGGCAGTGGCTGGCCACGAACATGGCGATTGGCAGCAGAAGGACAAGCAATAGCCTGTCACCCTCCAGCTGGTTCACCTGTCACCACTGCCACATTTTTACCTTCCCACTGTGGGCCCTGTGCTGGAGCTGCCACCACAGCACAGGATATGAGGTGGTGGTAGCTCCAGCTCTGAAATGATGCATGTGGCAGGGGCTGGAGCTGCCACCATGTGCTCCAGGTTGGAGCCAGAGCTGCTGCCGCTACTTCATCATGCCCTGGGCTGGATCTAGTGTGCAAGGAGCTCTGTGGTTTGGATTTGGCTTGGGGTGCAAGATGAGTTTTGAGACCCTGGGTTTAGACCAAAAGGATTATCAGTAAGACCCAAGGACTGTAGTGAGATCATCTCTGGTAAACAAGAAGAGGTTGGAAGTCACTGGATCAGTATTAGTGTGTTGGAAAATTAGGTCTAATGGTGGACCAAGTAACAAAGGGATGCGGTAATTCCACCGATCAGACCTTTACGGGGTTTTTAATTTGACATTGATGTCAGGAAAAGGGTGGATTGAGAGAAGGAATAACCTTTACCAGCTTTGCTGGCCCAACTACCATCCCTCATGTCTTTGGTGTTCTCTGGGATGGCTCTGGATTTTCATAGCTCTGATGCCCTGATCTGACAGAGCCCTGCTTAAAGGGGACCCACATAATATTGTAACCTCCACCAACTTCGATCAGATTGTGAACCCCACCTACACTGTGACACTTGCACTCCAGCTGTCACCTTTTAATATGCCTTTTTCATTTCCTATTACATTATATTTAAGATGTTTTAACTGGTTTTCCTTCTTTTTCTGTATCTTAAATATTTTGTTAAAGAGATTCTTAAAATTTGCCAAAGGACCTAGCAGGCTGTGATGTCTGTACTCAGAACCCTGAACCCTGTTTAACTATTTACTTCTGTTCAGTGACAAGATAATAACATATTTAATTCTTTGTTCGTTTATCCCATTGATTAAACATGGGTAAGAATTAATACCTGAAAGCCTGTCTGTGTTTATACCAACCATACAGTTGGTCTGATAAGAGAGATCATCCACAAGATTTCTTGCCTGTTGTGCATTTCCTGGACCAGCAGCATCAGCTTAACACTACTGTTGAATAAATATGGTATCAGTGCTTAATTAACATGGCTGTTGGAAATAAGGCACACATTGTTAGCCTGAATTTGTCTAGCCCTGGCTGTTAGCCTGTGGACCTTGTTTTGATTGCTAAATTAAAGGCCCCTCAACTAATAGGTACTGGACACAAAAGTTGGCTTTGAATCTTGTCTAAACAAAAAAATACCATGCTTCTTGTTTGAGGCTGTATTTTGTTGGCACATTAAAATGTAACTGGAACGTAATTAGAGTTTTCTGGGTTTTTTTAAATTGTGCATTTCAGTTAGTAAAGAATAGAAAACCAAAATATCAGTGTTTCACTTTCTATAAATTTGGCTTTACATGCATTTACACATAACAAAACAAAATCATTTTAGTAAAAAAACCCAAACAATCAAACTTTTATTTATTTATTTAAAATGAAGATATTGAGATACTAAAGTCACAGGGTAAGCCTGCTCAGTGTTTTACATAAGGCTTCTATAGAACATAATTGCTTCTTTACTTCAGTTTATTTCAAATGTCATATTGATAATTTAAAGTAGATTAAAAAACACCCTGGTTTCTATATTCTCACTATCACTATTCTCATGTTTTTAGGGAAGGACTCTGAAATTCTTTCATTAAAGATATATTCTAAATGGAAATGATTACTTTTATTCTAGGTTGCATGAGTATTATTTGTTTATAGACAGTCTGGTTAGGTTTGTCCCACTTAAAACATGTTTTTTGGTTTGTTTTTTTTTCTATTTTAAATTTTGTCACAGGGTTTTGCTAGAATGTCCTCAGAGATAGGACGTGAGAAAAGTCAGGAGTGGGGCTCCACAGGCTTAGGAGGAGTGTTTAAGGTGGAGTGGATCCGGAAAGAAAGTCTTCCCTTTCAATTTGCGCATCACTTACTCAACCCTTGGAATGACAATAAGAAAGTACAAATAAGCAGAGATGGACAGGTAGTGCATATTTTCATTTAAAATCTTTACTCACTATTATATATACAGGATATTTAAAAGTTTCTAGGCAAGTGTGGTTTTCTTGGCTTTACCTTTTCATAATAGTCTCATAGTGTAGCTTTATATCTTACTATTTTTAATCTTCTGTCAGCACTTACCTTTCATATATCATGTGATTAGCTTTGATTCGATATTGGCATACTGTGTTCTGTTGTTCTACTATTAATTTATTTGAAGCTTTGCCATACAGCAAGGTAGAATAGATGAAACAGAAGAAACATCATTTCTGGAGAAGGTTGACACTTTCAATGTATAATAGAAGACATACAGAACCAAATACAATTTTATAATTCTCCAGGGTACTTTAACCCATGTATTTAAAAACTATAGAAAATACTATCCCACAATGTGTTGTGTGTGCTGTATAGCTTCTGTCCTTTGCTTTTAAAATAAATATATTCTAGAGCAACAGAGGCCATATTTCTTCTTGTGTGAAATGGAATATGAATGTATTTTTGCTAGGGCTGTCAGTTAATTGCAGTTAACATACACAAATAACACAAAACAAATTAACACGTTAATTTTTATAATAAGCGTTAATTGTACACGTCCATTTTGACCAGAGGTGAGCAATATCCAGCCCTCCCTGCACCCTATCTAGACTTGGCCTGGCACAGTGACCAGAGCAGACCAGCTCTGGACCGGGTGTAACCCACGTGCACAGCCCTGCCTGCCTGCCCATGCTGAGCAGTGGTAGCTGGGCATAAGCTGCTGCTCCTCCCCCTTACTGCTGCTGGGCCTTTTTTGCTGTGGCTGCCCAGAGCCCACGCCCATGTCTGGGCTTCCCTGTGGCTTCTCTCCGCTGCTGTCACTGCCGCCTCCGGGCCTCTCAGCGGGGAAAGGGCGGCAGTGCAGAGGAGCCTCAGGGGCTGCAGCGAGAAGGGCCTGGCAGTGGCTAGGGAGAGGAGCTGTTTTTCCCCCTGCACTGAGCAGCAGCTTCTGTCCAGCTACTGCTGCGTAGCATGGGCGAGTGAGTCTGGAGCAGGCACAGGGTGGGCCAAGGTTGGGGCTGTTTGTACAGGTTCCAGCTGGTTCGTGCTGGCGGCACGAGTCTGGAGCGGGTGTGGGGTGAGCCGGGGTCAGGGCTGGGGCTGTGTGCTGCTGGTGGTGGTGGTGGTGGTGGGGTAGGAGCTGCAGGGCACACAGGTTCCAGGCTGTTGGGTGAGGGGGTACTGACTGTTGTTTAACTGTGCAATCAAAATTGCAATTAATTGCGACTATTCTTTTCAATCTCACAATTAATTGCGATTTTTTTTTTTAATCATTTGTCAGCCCTAATTTTAACTGAATATCTATGAAAGAGAAAACTTCTAGAATATGGATCTTTTGCATAGTTTGTCTTATATTCGATTATAATATTTTAAAAGTTGCTTCTCGATGAACTTCGTTATTCTTTGTGTATTAACAGTAAGGAATACCCTTATGATCAATGTGCCCTCTGCAGTCTACTTTTTGAGATCATGAAACTATATATTAACCAGAAAGTTCCCCATCAATGCTGGGGCCTTGGTAGTACATTGGGGTGTCTTCTGCTTCCTTCTTGGGTTGACTGTAGATTTTATTTTTTAATTGGTGCTTTGGGGCTGTGTTGTGCAAGAGGGGAATGTTCTTGTGGACCCACTTTGGCCAAATACCTATTACAGGGATGCTTCCAGGATTTTACTGTAACTTGCTTTGCTTTTCCTTTACCTTTATGAACAATGTGGAAGAGATTCTCGTCAGAAATGGCTTGCTCAGTTTTAATCCAGATACAGAGTCTCATAAAATTCAAATAGTCTTTGTTTCATTTTAGAGCAATACAACAGATTCACACATATTCATAACAGTCTTAGTTACTTGGAAATCAACTTGCTTTTCACAATATATAAATGATCCCAAATATACATAACTGATTTAGACATGCTCAAAAATATGTCAGCAAGGATAGTCACTCTGAAGTTTAAACTTTTAGTTTTCGCTATAACCTTAGGAAGGTGGTACCTTGAGAGATTTGTAAGATAGGGTTGGTGATAGGAAGGGGAATGGAGAAACACAGAGACTCTGGCCTGGATGGGAAGAAATTGTATAATGTCCCTGAAATAAAGGGGAGCAGAAGGACAGCACACACGGAGATAGATAGACAGAACGGAGGAATTCATGGAATCCTGGGTACTTGCAATGTGCTACACCTACATGGAGTGTGTTTCCTGTATGTTATGAAAATTTAATCTTTTTATTCTTCGAAAAGCCTTTTGTTAAAGGGGGAATGTAGTATATGTTGTAATACCTAAAGGTATCTCTTCAAACAGAACAAAAACCAAACTGCTAATTTTTTTGGAGCTCAGCCACTAGTGTGTTATAGCTTTTTTGTGTTATGGTAGTCTTGTAACATGTCTAAACACAGCAGCAAAAATGTGAATTTGCTATTTAAGATTGCTTTTGCTTTTCTTCAGGAACTGGAACCACAGGTTGGAGAACAGTTGCTACAGCTTTGGGATCATATTCCTGTGGTTGGAAAAAATGCAACTGATTGACGATGCACAGAAATACACTTGAGGTATTGTATTGTAAGACAGGGCTTTCAACCTTTTTTAATAAGTGTAAGACGGGAGAGGTATCTGTCCAGCTGGGCAGTGCCTGTGCGACCCACATTGGTGCGCCACTACCCTCGCCCCACTCTGGCCCTGCTCCTGAGAGGTGGTGGCGGGGGGTTGTGGGTGGTTGCAGCCTTCCCAAGTACCTCCAAGGATAGCCCAGGGGTATCCCCGGTTGACAACCCCTGTTGTAGGATAATTATGCTTTTTTTTTTTTTTTTTTTTTTGAAGGGGACCATTGTGAATTTTCATTATTCCTTGCATTATATGTTTTTACCATATTTTTTCTTACGAAGTATTGTAAATATTTTTATGGGGGGGTTGCATAATTTTGTCAGAGAAAATATGTTTGTTTTAAAAAAATTTCCTTTTTTTTTTTTTTTTTTTTTTTTTTTTTTTTGGCTCCA